GCTTGAAAATAGATCACGAGGAGTTAGTCTAACTCAGTTAGACGAGCTCATGGTAGGGGGCTCGGAGCTGGGAGCATTGGTGTTGTCGTAAGGTTGTGAACGATGCCCCTTTCCTTTACCTTGACCTTTTCCTTTACCACGGAAAGGGGCAGAGCTCCAATTAGAACCCTTTCCCTTAGCCTTGCCGAAACCCTTGCCTTTACCAGGGGAATAGTCTCGATTGTTGAGTACCGAGCCAATCTCCATGTCCAACCTTGGACGAAGATAAGTCTCTTCACCGAACAACTTCTCCATCGTTATTACTCCACTAGCGACCGCCATGGCACCGGTCCGTCGATACTTCGCCTCTGCCTGTATAACTGCCTGATACGGGTGGACCTCAAATGCAGCACAGACGTGAGCCAAATAAGAGAACAATGTACCGAAGTCTACCTCTTTACGGCCTCTATCAGAGAGTTGAAGAGTTACCGCATAGCGCACGAAGCACTCGCACCATTGACCAATATTACGGATCGGCTCCTTCTTGCCATCTGAGCGCCTCGGTTGTACCACCTCACCAGTGATTGTAGTGATCGTCTCGAGGTCATTGTCAAAAACATGGCTCGGGAACATGAACTCACCCAAATCATAGTAAGCAAACGGTTGATCGAGAACCTTCTTCACCACAATTGCCGGGGGCAGAGTATTAGGGAGAACCTTGAACGATGATTTCGCCTTCTGAGCCTCCGAGCACACCTTAGTGAGGTCCAGCGCTGGGGTTTTACGGACACGTTCGACTTGAGCATCACGTAGCTGAAGTATCTCCATCTGGGCGTTAGCATTCTTGATGGCAGCGCTGAGAACACCTCGGACGAGGGAAGCTGCCGATTCCGCTTCATTAGTGGTACCGGGAGAGACTTTCGCTGCTATCTTATTAACAGCAGTACCATCTGCCGCTGCAAAGAGCATGAGTGTGCTCAACCCAAATTCATTGACCGCCTTCTTGATAGCATCGAGGTGACGGACCGCAGCAGGTGAAGCTTGCGCGATGTTTGTGAGAACAGTATCGACCGCAGATGTTTCTTGATTGTTGGCTGGCATCGTGCGGGAGAACACAGGAACAACTTGGGCCTGATGGTAACAGAGTAACCAGATAGCCATCAGCATCTGAAGGGCTAGAGCCAGTTGACGCACGAAGTCCAGAAGGAGACATAACTTGCTGAATTATCGCGATGATAGTCAATATACCTCGACTTCACTACTCCCTTGAGTCTCATGATTCCAAGTATAATCGACATAGGCACGTTAGCTTGAAGCAACGTCTGCTTGGAGCACTCGTTACACGGGACATAATCCGAGCACAAGGCTAAACGGCACAAGCAAAGACCCTTAAGTGCTTCGGAGTCGAATTCCCATCGCTAGACTAACCACGCTACTAGCGTCACGCTAGCCTAGCGTCGCTGGGTTAAATTCGTGATCATTATCTGATGACTCCTGGGCAGCTAGCAACAACTAACAACCCTGACAGTGATGCCGTGACTGTGCATAGCGTGCACCGCATACGATGATGCTATCTTAGCTGCTATATGTTTTATGCTCCTGCATATTGAACAAGCTCATATAATGCGAGTGACACTTGCCGAGCGTTCCTCAACAAAGGTTGTGCTAGTCACACTCCAGGCATTAGCTATAACGACACCCGCGGTGCGGGCATTCACGTATGAGCGTTCCTTATTACACGACGTTTCTACAGTTTATGCATTACAGAGAATTACTATATTAGGCCTTCACGTACCCTGTATGCGTAAGATATGACAGAAGTGTGGTAAGCGCACACGCACGTGACACGTGCCACGTGTCCCGAACGCGTCCTCTTTCGTAAATAAAATCAACGAACGTGAAAATCGAACATTGGTCACATGAAAGCTGGACTCAGCATATTTACCACTACATTAATTCACAAACTTTAATTGGTGGATAAAACCAGTACGAGTCAAACTCATTATAACGTTTTATTTGCATGGATCGATCCCGAGCACACTGCTTACTAACTCACTAGCGAGCACGCTATCACAATGCTACTGAACCAGACATGAACATTGAAGACGTGACACAATTGTACATCCGCGAAATTTAGAACAAAAAAAATAATCACCCAACACACCATTCTATCCTAGATGAAAATCACTGCATGAGCTCTTGTTGACTCGATAAATAACGTGGAAAGACACTCACTCCTGTGTCTCACACAAAGCTTTTAGTAGCTCAAATGCTCTGTCGGGCGAACCCGGCGTCCCCAGCCCGGGGAACAGCCGATCGTAGGCTACTAGGTCCTGACTTTCTTTCACTGAGGACTGCCCATTCTAAGACGGGCGTCTGTTGTCAGTCCTTTCAATTATCACGAGCTATAACTCATAGAATGGGGCATAGAAATAATGTAATCAATGCCAGGAGTAGAGGCACAGAGGCTTGACCACATAGTGATCGCCGTCCATAACCCCTAGTCCGTTTAAGTAACCTAGTATCTCGCGTTCAGCGTACAGCTGTTGTCAAGGTTACTGAGGGCGTACAGCCCTACTCGAGCTCGCGTCCGCCATTATTACAACTGTGAGCACATGGGTGTGCCTTATTGCTAGCATCTCACTAGCTCTAGCATTGAACCACGCTGGACTACCGCAATTGTGGTTATTCTCGAGCGCACACGAGTGTATTTTGTGTACATAGGCTCTGCGTGGTAATTTCGCTCACGCCGATCCTCCTGCGTAGGATTGCTACCAAGAGTAATCACTCATGTAATCGGCGAAACAGTCACAGACATCAACATGATCCGAAGTGGAATCATCGCCCTGCTGGCCCAATGGATAAGGCGCCACCCTCCTAAGGTGGGAAATTCCGAGTTCGATCCTCGGGTAGGGTAGATAAGTTTAGTGAGAATCATTAGAGGACGACTCGATTGAGCTGGCTGTAAACGACACAGTGAGGAGTAAAATTTTGAATGAAAATAGGTCAAATGGAGGACTAGTCCAATTGTGTGTATGGGTGTGTAGCTTAGTGGTAGAGCGGCTGACTGCAGATCAGCAGGTCCTCGGTTCAAATCCGGGCGTGCCCTTTGAACCTTCGCAAAATTTCCATCAAGGAATTTTCGAGAGGTAGAGTAATCACTCATGTAATCGGCGAAACAGTCACAGACATCAACATGATCCGAAGTTGAATCATCGCCCTGCTGGCCCAATGGATAAGGCGCCACCCTCCTAAGGTGGAGATTCCGAGTTCGATCCTCGGGTAGGGTAGATAAGTTTAGTGAGAATCATTAGAGGACGACTCGATTGAGCTGGCTATAAACGACACAGTGAGGAGTGCAATTTTGAATGAAAATAGGTCAAATGGAGGACTAGTCGAATTGTGTGCATGGGTGTGTAGCTCGGTGGTAGAGCGGCTGACTGCAGATCAGCAGGTCCTCGGTTTAAGTCCGGGCGTGGCCTTTGAACCTACGCAAAATTTCCATTAAGGAATTTTCGAGAGGTAGAGTAATCACTCATGTAATCGGCGAAACAGTCACACACATCAACATGATCCGAAGTTGAATCATCGCCCTGCTGGCCCAATGGATAAGGCGTCACCCTCCTAAGGTGGAGACTCCGAGTTCGATCCTCGGGTAGGGTAGATAAGTTTAGTAAGAATCATTAGAGGACGACTCGATTGAGCTGGCTGTAAACGACGCAGTGAGGAGTGCAATTTTGAATGAAAATAGGTCAAATGGAGGACTAGTCAAAATGTGTGCATGGGTGTGTAGCTCAGTGGTAGAGCGGCTGACTGCAGATCAGCAGGTTCTCGGTTCA